AGAGCGGCTCGATTGTGTCGCCTTGTGGCTCCAAAGGTTTGACCAGCGCGTAAACCCATAGAGGCAGTACGAGGTATAACAGCTGACTCTCGTATTAGCTAAAGTCCTCGTGGGCCGGCGTATGATGACGAGTAAACGGGAATCAAAACCCTTTCGACAGATACTATGTGTGCCGTCAAAACAATATAGATAGGCGGAGTGGCTATGAAATTGATACAACCCTCGCAATCATACAGACCATAGCAATCCTGCTTGCCGCCCCCCTCCCCCACGCCCTCCCTTGATTACAACATGACCTTATGTGGGATGAGAGAAACCTCAAGCACTTGAGACAAATCTGTTAGCGTCGCTGGGGTTTACACGGGGTGTCTTCAGGTTGTGAACAGTGGAACGACTGGCTATGAAAGAAGCAAGCTCTCGAGGCTGATGAATAACCAATTGACAGTCGTGAATTGGCAATACCTAAGGGCGTGGCCGGGGCATGGTTCGGCAGTTAGTTGATCATAAAACGGTCACAATTCATAGTTACCACGACATGGTGAATGTTGCCCGTTAATAAGTAAAGCTACACCGTCCTTAAACATGACGCTGGAAACTAAGATTGGTATTCCGAGAGGGGGAGGAAGAGGTACACATTCGAAACCAGGTAGTACACGAAAACATGCCTCCGGCAAACCATCCCTTGCAATTCTTGTCTACCCATAATACATGGCTGAATCGGGCTTCGGACGGTCGGAGATCTGTGGTCAGTGTTCTCTAATGGCGCTGAGATGAGCATCTTCCTGCTCAAAAACAAGTAATGGGCTCCTCAAAAATGTCAGTTATGGTTGCTCGTTTTTAAAAAGGAAAAATTAAGTTGTATCGATATGTCCATAAAAGGATAGGCATCTTACAAAATTATGATAGTTTGAAACGAGCTGAGTGGAAGGGTAGTAGTGGGGTGCCTCAATAGACCCTACCCAAGTCGGAGATCTTATGTAGGGGTGAGAACCCACTATGATTGAGTCCTGATGTGCATACAGGGGCACTTAAGTAAAAAACTGAAAGTCGACAGTGACAAATTACATCCATTAACCTACAACTAGAAGTTACAGCCAAGAAGCAACTACAACGGAAACAAGACTTATTGTGTTTACAGACAAACCTGGCCTGTTTGAATGCTTAACAGAAGCAGAGCTGAAAACTACGTGCCACGGGTCAGGTCGGGACCGAGTCAATGACCTTAGCTCATAACAAGTATATTTTATTGAATATTTCAGCGGAGAGACATATAGGGGTCTCCATGTCTATACAGAATGCATTTTACACTTTTAAAAGTTGTAATCTATAGTGGTATTTTGCCACGGTGAACTCCAATTTCAAAAAAAGCAATACACTTGCCATTTACAGGCCATGTCCTGGTGATATCTGC